TTGCATGTTATTAAGTAGATTACATTTTTAGTTTCGCAGTTGATGTTATCTGTAAGAACTTTTTTGAAGAGAGGTCCCTCTACATGGTTGGTTTCTGTCATGTAAGGGCATGTTTTGCACCTAGCCTTCTGATCCTCTGTAACTTCCTTAGACACTTATTCAAGAAAACACGGATCCTCTTTTTGTAAGTCTGAAACGCGTTCCATATTTCAAACCCAAACAACAAGACTGAGTTCACATTTGAGTTGAGGATCCTCTGCTTTGTTCGTAGTGAGATATCCCTGGTTCTCCAAATCCTATTCAATGAAATAAAAGCAGCCTGTGCCTTTCCGATACCGGACTTTATTTCATTGCCTTTTCCTTCCTCTTTGTCAAGTACACTGCCAAGTTAGCAGAAGGATTCGACGTCTTCTAATGCATTTCCCTCTATTGTTATCCGTTCCTTTCGTAGTGCATCTATCCTAGGACTTTTGACTTTCCACGATGGATCCTCAATCCAACAGACTCTCATAGGCTATTTAAAATTATGGTCTTTGCTTGCATCTGTTCCTGGGTGTGTGACAAAAGCGCCAAGTCATTTGCAAAGTCCAGATCGCCCAACTGTGTCCATGGGGTCCACTGCATGCCGTTTCTTTGTCCTCTGGGGGTTTCTTTCATCTACCAGTCGATTGCCAAGATAAGAGGAAGGTGATAATATCCCTGTCTCACGCCGGTCTATACTTCAAAGCTGTCAGTGAGCTGGCCACCATGTACAACCCTGCAAATTATTGTCTCTTCATACATGCTCTTGATGAGGTCCAACAACTTCTGTGGGATTCTGTGATGTCTCAGTATCTTCCATAGTGTTACTCGATCTATACCGTTAAAGGCCTTCTCAGAGTCAAGGAAGTTGACGATCAACTGACAGTTCCACTACAGGGACTGTTTCACTATGATCCTCAGCGTAGCAATCTGGTCCACGGTTGACCGATTTTTTTTCTGAAAACCTGCCTGTTCATCCTGAAGTCTTGGATCCGTTGCAAACTTGTTTCTCTCCAGAATGATTCTGTTGAAGACCTTACCTGGTATTGAGAGAAGACTGATTCCTCGTAGTTGTTGCAGTTGCCGAGATCCCCCTTTTAGGAAGCTTCACAGGGTGTCCTTCTTTCCAATCCTTTGGGAACTTGCTTTCATTCCAGATCGTGGTACACAGTGGGAGAAGGAGGTCTGCCGTCACATTGGCATCTGTTTTTAGGGCTTCAAGTGGAATCTGATCACGACTGGCCGCTTATTATATTTGTTCAGTTTCATGATGGCATCCATAATCTCTTGTTTTGATGAAGCATCACAGACGATTAGTAACTCATTTCTTGCTGGCATGATGTTTGGCGAGTTACTTGGTGGTGGTCTGTTCAGGAGACTGCTGTTGCTCTACCCTTTGTTTCGACTGAGATTTCTTCCCAAAAATGGGGTTTCCCTCTTGGTCCTTTACTGTTACTTCTGGTTTCCCATATTTTCCAGCGAAAGTCCTTGTAGTCTGGTAGAGGATTCGTACGTGCCTTCATCCTGCTGCCTCCTCTGGGCTCTCCGCCAGCCTGTTCATGAATGACCCCTTGTTTTTTTGGTTTTTTTTAGTGATCTCCTTACATCTTTATGTGTTGTCCTGAACTGCTTCAATGCGTCCGCTTTTGATTCCAGGGTTCTACTTACATTTGTCTCTACTTTCAATTGTCTTCTAATCCTAATCAACTCCAATGACCGTTGGCTATTCAGTTTTTATGCTCCAATTTCTTCTCACTGAGCACTTCTTGACATGTTGAAGTAAAGACTTCTTTGACCTTGGTCCAGTGTCTCTCCACCTCCATGTCCTCTTCACCAAGATCCGCCAAGGGATGAAATCTGTTTCTCAACTGTAATTGAAACGCCTCTTTCTTGTGTCCATCTAACAGACTTACTTGAAACTTCATTCTTTTGGTTCCCGTTCTGGTCCCATGCTTTTTAAGACAAAGCTTGAGTTTTGCTAACAGCCGATGATGATCCGATCCAACGTCTGCCCCTCTCTGTACTGTGACATCTTCCAGTGATCGTCTAAACCTACATGAGATACAAAAATGATCGGTCTGGTTCTCTGTCACTCCATCCGGTGATACCCAAGTAGCCTTGTGGGTCCTCTTATGGGACCATGGAGCCTCCAATGACAAAACTGTTGAAAGCACAGATATTTGCAAATCGCTCACCGTTCTTATTTATTTGTCCCAAGCCATGTTGCAGTGGCGGTGGGTGGATCAAAATTTGGGTGGGGCTTAGGTTGCTTCCAATAGTTTACCACCAAATAGCAAGTTATTATTTTTCTATACTCATGTTGAGCCACGGCAGTTTGAGAATCATTCAAACGGGAAGAGTTCCCTATGTTTTCCAACTCTTTTTTCTTAGTTAAATTCTTGTTGATGGTGGGGACGAAGTCGATTAACTTCCAAATTTCATCTAATTAGTTTTTGTGTGATGAAAAAGTTGCCTTACAAGTAGTTCGACCTGATTTATAACTGTTAAATCTCAGCGGCACAAACACAAACATGCACACACAGCACTTCAAACATAATACTTCCATGAGCTGGATTAGGCCGTGTAGTCGAGAAAGTTCAACGCACCCAACAAAGAACCAATCAGCGCATAGGTATCTGTGTCAGTGGGGGAAAGTGAGTCGTAAACTTTCACCCCATTGTCAGGGCTAGGAGAGCGTGAGCCCTCGGTACAGTGTAATTTTTCCCCAGTCTTCTATCCTTTTACAAGAAGAGTTTCATTGAGGACGACTGTGGGAAAAGGGCTCAATTTTGCTGAGCCCTAAAGACATTTGATTGGCTGTTAGGTTACTATAGTTGTAAGCAGCGACAACAGTGATTGGATAAGCGAGCAAGCCGCCAAGTCGAACACTCTGTGTTCATTGCGTGCGGCCATAACGGTTTCAACTGCGTATTTCATTATGGAGAAACTTTCATTTACTTTGAGATAGAGTTGGGGGTGGCGGGTGAGGAGGGGGTAAGGGCTCAAGCCCGTGAGCCCTTCACTACCCACCGCCACTGCCAAGTTGTCCCATAATTCCCTCAAAACCTATATTGTCCAGACCAATCTTGGCATTAGCATCTCTCATTTTGATGTTGACATCCTTCCGTGGTTGTTTGTCGATGACCCCGCTGGAGCCGGCTGTAAAAGGCATCCTTGTCTTCACCCAAAGCTTCGTTAGTTGGGGCGCAGATCTGAGTTATGTTCTGTTGATGCTCTTGCTCCATGTAGTGAACGAAGCCATGATGATCCTCTCCCCGTGTGGTTCCCATCCTGTGAATGATTTCTGGGTATACTTATTCAAAAAATTTCCAACTCCTTCTGCATGGTGCTTGTTTTCCTGTCCAGAATACAATACTATGTGCCCCCGAGCTGAGCTGCTTATGTCCAGACTGTATCTAGTGGGTTTCGCCGACTCCTAGTATGTGAGGCCTGTATGTCTTCATCTCTAGTGCCACTTAAGGACTCTTTCCTACTTCAAACATGGTGCGAACATTCCGTGACGCAACCCGTAGAGACTGGATCGAAAGAGAAAGTTTCGGGTCAAAAGAGTCCTTTCGGCTCTGTCCGCTGCCCTTCATTATCATTGTTCCTGCTGATGCAGAAGCTCAACCGTCTCCCAAGGTGGAAAAATAATAAGGCGTTTTTGTTCGTGTTTCTATAATTTTCCGTTTTTACTGGGTTAGGTAGTTGGCCCTGCGCAAACTGGCACTTTTCAGGAAACCTCTGTAGTCGACTCTTACGATATGCAGTGTCACTACACGGCAAGTGTTATTCTATGCTACCCCAAAGCAAAACTATGAGGGGGAGGGGGGGGAGGGGATGGGAGGAGGAGGTTCACATGGGAAGGGCGCTTTATACGTACTTTTTACTTCATCCTGGTGGGAATGGTTACCAGGCGATATACAGCGAAAAATCTTGTCAGCATGTTAGTGTTTTAGCGCCTATAAAATGGCCGCAGGCACTGTATGCCTCCCAAGAAGTTGAGGTTGTTCCAGAATGCTATCAGGTCTGCAGGGATAATTATAAATTATTGTAGATTGCAAAGCACATAGAGCTTGCTGTTGAGCAGGAATTTGCGCTACCTAAATGCTATCTATCTATCTATCTATCTATCTATCTATCTATCTATCTATCTATCTATCTA